TTCATTTCATTAATCTTGATGAAATGATTGATGAAATTTTCATGATTCAAAAAAATCATTTTTCTTTTAATATTCATATTAAAATTTAAATTATCTGATTAAATAAATATTCACAATTAAATAAGTATTGGTTTTTAATCAACACATATTATTTCGTAAATTTTCTTAGCAATCTTTTTTAATCATTACTATTGATAGAATTTCCAATTATCAAAATTTCCAAAATATTTCATCATTTTTCACATAATATTCATTTAATAAGTTAACAGGTTAATTGGAAATTTAGTATTTTTTTGACATATCACAACATATGCTTTGGAAAAGTTTGCCAGATTTTCTGATATGTCAAACATGTTAAAAATATAATCACAGAAATGTAATTTTACTCTTAAGATAAAAATAATCTCTCAATCTTGCAACTTCATCGGTCTATTATCATAATTACAATGATTTCATATATGCATCATCTATTTATTATTTTTTCAATATATGCATAATTCGAAATGTTTAAAAAAATGAGTAATTACCTGTCCCATCCAAAGGAAGCAAATAAATATTTTTATGAATAAATAAATAAAATATAAAAAATTGCATTTGCATAGGAGATGCAAGATAAACTTGAGCAACATGGGGTGGGCTGCATTCTGGACGACATCATTCATGATCTTGTTGTCAAACAAATGTAGACTCTCATGGTTCTTACAGAAGTGTCATAATTTGAAGGACCACCACTCCTTACATAAACACCTAGGCTGGATGTATTTTCACTTGTCTAGAATGAAGGCAAGGCAGGAGGATCACTTCAATGCTGTGCCTTCGATTTGAGGATACCTCGGCGTTCTGATCCTCCCATGATATCCACCTTACCCAGAGAACTGATTCTGACCTTTTTGTGGCATAGCGTCAGTTTTGAAAATCGGAAGTTAAATGACAAGCCACTTTTGATGATCCCTCACCATCAGTAATTGTGATGACTTAGTTGCCACTTAACCCTCATGTATATTTTGAGAGTTACTAAAACTGACATCAAACTGGCATAGCTACTTCCCACTCCATAACAGAGACCCATTTGAAAATTGTGCAAGTGCATTACCTTCCCTCCAACTTCACACGAATCTAACAAACAAAGGTGTGATCAGAGCCTCGGAAGTGATCACCAGCAAGGTAATTGTCTGACATGTGTTCATTTACTAACATTCAATATATAATTTTGTTTGAAAATATGTATAGCATTTTCAGCTTCACGTCTCAGCCTGACACAAACCCGAGTTCCTAATCTTCTGTAACTAGTGCCTCGTTGGCCACCAAGGATCCTGTTTATAGATTTAATCTTATTTATTTCTACTAATATTGAGTTATTGCTTTGCTTATGGAATTGAGATTAATTCACAACGCTCCTACTTAATGGAGAGTCAGAAACATACTGATCTCCCTTACAAACAAACTATTCTCTTCTGTTGGGAGTACTTTTAATAGCACATCAGCATCACTTAATGAATTGAATTGAGTTGAGTTGGACAGTGCACTAGTCAAATTATTTACTATTTTTTCTTGTTTTTTGCTTTTACAGATCTTCTATGTATAGAGATATGCTTAGTACCAAAATAATGAATAAGGTTGTTGTGAGTACAATAATTCTAGTATTGATGTATTCAGTACTCAGTATTGATGGAGCTTGTTGAGCAAAACCTACTTTCTTGAACATAATCCTTGACCACATCAGCTCTTGAGAAGCTAGTGAAGCAGCCATGATTTCTGCTGTTCTCCCTAATCTCAACTATTAGCTGCACCACTCAAACTATTCAATTAACCACTAGGGGTCTTTTGTTTTCCAAATCGTCAGCCCAACAATCTTCATCAGAAAAACCTTTGAGAGTAGTTTCAGGTCTGAAAGTGCCTTTCAAGTACCTCAGTACTGTCTTCAACCTGCAGCCATGTTCGAAAGGAGTAGAGACAGGTTTTGCATCCTTCATCCTCTATCTATGCAGTATCCCGTCAATGTTCTTCGTATGGCTCAACCGAATCCATCTTTCCTTTTGATTTCTGTCGATGTGGATGGCCAAGAGAAATTTGACTGGACCAATTACTTTCATTTCGAAGATGGATCAAATGGAAGGGATTACAATCTTCACATCTTTTACTCCCTTCCACAATGACAACGAATTGTCCACATAGACTGCTATATAGACTTCTTCATCCTTGCTGTAGACCCTCAAGTCTAAGCGTGCTCTTTAATTGAGTTACTTATAAATAACTGTATCTTAGGATAATTCACAACACTCAAATTATCCGTTTTGTTTTCACTTCTTTCTTTCTAGTGAGATTGACAGGGTCATGTCATTGTTTCCCATCCAGACTTGGCCTTGCTGTTTTTCTAAAAATTCTGTAATTTTTGATCAATAGCTAATTGAGATACGGTCATTCGTGTCTTGCCCTGCTTTGCTGTGTGTTTATTTATGCTACGTCAATTTTTTGGAGTTCGCATCTCCTCTCATTCATTTTCTTATTTCTCTCACCTAATGAAATACACTGCTCAGTTTTAGGCTTGTTTCTGTCCAGTGCACATTCCCAAATCAAATTCAGCGTACATGAGACCCCTTCAAACGTGAATTGTCAACTCTGGGTTCAGATAGCTCTGGAGGTAGTACCGTAATATCGAGGGCTGGAACGTGTATGACGAGAGTATTCACTCGAGTCCCAGAAGAGACATGGACTGTCATCAGAATCATCCACAAAATATTGAGTACAGTGGGAATGGATGCTTTCAACCTGAGTACAGATCATAAATCTAAAAACAACTTCTCCAATTTTCTACATCTCAATTGTCCAGAATGTAAGAAGCACACGTTGCACGAGTTCCAGTTATCTTTGTATTACTTTTTTGACGTAGATCCCTGGACCTAGGTGGAAGAGTGTGGATTGGACCGCTTGTTCAAGTAACTCAAATCAGTTGCGTGATAGACTTGCAGTCTTATCAGATCCTCAATCTGTCTGTGTCTCTTTCTCTCCAGAAATATAGAAATACATACTGCCTTCTTCTGAAATTATTGGAGCACAAGAAGATTATTTGCTCTGTTCTCGGGTCGATTCGAGCACGACCCAGTATACACATCATGTAAGTGCAGTTCCAAGGGATGCAACGGTGAGGTCCTTGGCCTCCGCCAACAGTGAAGATTTATCACTTTAACTGCATAACTTATCAATATATGATTCTCTTTTGACATCAGCTTTACGTGGATGGGGTATAAAAGTATTATAATTCAGCAGGAAGCACCTGAAGTCATAGAGTAAAAGAATGGAGCAGATTTCGGTCTTCCTCGAGGAAATTAATTTTAGACAGGAATTAGAGAGTTCACTCTACTCCGTCGAAGATAGTTCAACAGACTAGAACAGTCGAAGGAGATGCACGTGTTATTGAGATTATCACGAGGCGTACATCGCATCAATTTGACTAAATGGCAACGCTTGCAACAGGAAAAGCCTCGAGTAGGACGTAATTACTCACACTCCAGACATGCGGGCACCAGATGGGAGATCTGTACAGCCTCCACTGTCACTCACAAGAGACAGATCCGAGCTGAGAAGCATTCAAAAGACTGTGTCTTCTGTTTACCAAGATCAACTCATTGTCCAGACAAATGCGGTTCTCGTGCTCGGATGAGTTCCTGAGCTCACCAGATCTGCTGGAGCCAACGTGGAATCTCGTCCACTTCCAGTGGGACGCACAACGCTTTTCTTGTAGACGCATGCCGTGTTGTGGAAAACTTCGCTCTAGCTCGAAGGATGCTTCGAACGTTCCGTGGGCTGCTTTCCTGAACACTATAAGAAGGAAGTCAGCACATGGTCACATTGTCTAAGACCAACTTTATGGCAATATTCGTCAGCAGAAAGTACCAAATTTGTCGACTTGGAGATAGGCATATCATTCGTGCAGTGCTGAGCGGCGTAGTTGTAGTCCATGCATCATAAGATCGGTGTAGTCCATTTGCTCTCTGTCTAGTGCTGTAGCCGTGATTTTGCTTGTGGAAGCGAGGGGAGGATTGGCTAGAAACATGTCAAAACTGGAGAGGAGTTTTCGGAATAGTTTCCAGAAATTAGATTTGAATAAGGTTCTCGATGACCATGAAAAGCTGGAGGTGCTGTCACATGTAAGTGATACACTGGCCGATGACTGTCTCAAACACCTCCATTGGAAAGCCCATCAAGATGTTTCGAAGGTTCTTCATAACTGTGATTCTGCACACGAGTCCATAATGAAATTCAAGGAGCAAATTGGGGGCGTACCCGAATGGGTCAACTGGGATCTCGTTCGTCAAGGCCAAGACGTTTTCTGGTGAGCGGACTCGGTGACCGTCTCAGTTGTGCGCAATGTTGTCCAAAAATTTCCCTTTGAAGCTAACATCCAGGCCAAGTACGGGTTTGGGATACCGAAAAGTGCTAGATTGGTTCACAGTACATGGGATTTGTTTGAACTGAACTAGACATAGAACTTGTGATCTCTAACTGGGCCTGACTTTGCATGTCAATTCCTATGATTAGGACGTATGCTCAGGTTCAGTCATTCTAAAACCTTGATAACATTTCTGAATTCGTTGCTCGTGGGGTGCACATCGCCACCTGCTGAATTGTTGAAGTAGTCGTAGATTCTCGAGAGAAATCGTAGATTGCTGGTTTTGGCGTACAATGGAAATTGTCGAGAGGATGCTGAAACTCTGACTTGTCTTTTGCAGGAAGTATATGGTACCTGTGAATATAATATTGACAAATTACTCTCTCGCGGGTGGACTTGCTGCAAATGATATGGCCAACACCCTCGAGTGCAACGGTTCGGACAAGAAGCCTCCGTTAACAAATGCACGAGTGATGAATACCTCCAAATTTGTACTGGATGTCATGAAGGACGCAGACTGCTTGCGACCTTGGACAGGAGAAGGATGGTCCTTGATAGTTCGCGTCCGAATGTTGCACGCTAAAGCTCGCTGGAAGGTGATAAAAAAGCGAAATATGCGAAAACTCGGATGCATATGAAAGAGACGGATCTTCCCATCAACCAGGAACATCTCTTGTACACACTCTGCGAATTTTCCATTGTTGTCATCACCAACTTGAGAAAGATGGGCATAAATCCCACGCCCAACGAAGTAACTGCTTACCTTCACTTGTGGCACGTCATCGGTTACTACCTGGGCGTGACGGAAGAGTTCAGCAAGCGCATTGTATCTGAGAATGGTGCCGCTGCTCTATTCGTGGAGATGGAGAAAGATTTAGTCCATCCAGGCGAAGCCGGGAAGGAGGCTGCAAAAGCCCTGCTCGGGAACATGGCCCTGAGACCACCCATGTTCTGGCCTTACAACTTACACGGGGCCGTCATGCGAAAGCTCGTCGGAGACGAGATCACCAGTTCACTGGGAATTGAACCAACGCCTTGGTACTGGAAGATGATAGCCAGCGGCGTGCTCTTCAATGTTAGGCTGCTACATAGCTCGAATCTATTTGTTCGGCCGAGAATCTACTTGTACCGGAAATTCACTCCTCCTCTTTGGGTTGTACTTTCCTGGATAGGAAAACGCATTTCCAGCAGGAAGGGCGAATCTGAAGAAAAAGGAGGCTGTCAGTTCGAGCGTCCTAAGTTAGGGCCCGATACGTCGAAAAAATATTAGGTACTCCGAGCTACTGATCCTTCAAACTGATTCGAATTTTGACACGGTGTTCTGGGTCAGCTTACTAGTGACTGATCATGATCCTTTGCAGAAGTCTATGGCTTTCAGAATGCGAAGAAGATGTATTCGCACAAGCGACTAAGATACTCGCGATCACATATAGAGAATACTTTTGACATCTTGGGATCTGGCCTTTGTGCGGGGGAAAACTTAGAACGACTTCAGCAGTGTCACTATTTCGAGAGCCGATTGCGTATTACAGACGGAGTAAACATACAGTTTATGATCAGAATGTGGAAAATGTGTACATATTTACCAAATAATTTATGAAGGCTTCTTTCTCTGGCCAAATGTGCTTTTCAACATGAATGACGGATAGTGAATGTGAAAATAGCTCTCCTCTCATAAAAAACCGACGAACATTCAACAGGTCTCCCACTCTGCGCACAGCTTGTCTCTTGATGTCTCTCAAGTCATGACTGCGTCCTCGACGAGGATGACCTTAGCCCTGTAGAAACTTCGTTTTCGTTCTCCAGTTTCCTTGCATGTTTGTTGCTGAGGCTAGTGCCCCTGACTTCGATTATCCTCAAAATTTCATTACTACGCATTCCTCTTTACTCTTTTCCACAAACCTCGATTAGGCGCTGCATGGTTCTAATGTCTTCTTCACTCTCTTCCTTGTCAGTCTGTCCTTCCCATCATCGTCATCATCATCAGAGCCAGGCTCCTCCTTGTACTGCCTACTTTCTGTCCACTTGTTCTGAGCCTTAAAGTCGATCTTCCAATCCTCTGTTTGTCTTCCACAGATCGGTATGCTTCGTGGCTCGTAGTAATCCATCTCTGCTGTACTATCTATAGAGGCTGTCTGCATCTTTGCTGGTTATTGGACCTCTGCCATTATATCGCTAGTCCCTCGTACCACTATCTTCTCTCCTCAACATGGTGATCCACATGCCTTTGCCTTATGTGTTCGACAGACTTTAAAGCCTTCAAGGTTTCAATGAACTAGCTACCTGCTGAGTACAGAACATGAAACCATAAGCCCCTGCGTGGTTTTCCGTCAAGTTCGATTTGTAGTTCCTCCATGGCTAAACTATGCACTATCATGATGCGTAGAATTAGAGAAAACAGGTATGTCGTCCTTCTAGATTAAGCTTTCATTACTGGAGTTATCTGATTACGAACGGACAGATAGTTTGGAAATAGTTTTCAACCAGCCATTGACGCGTCTCGGTTCTACCTCACTAACTGCGTCATTGCCCTAACCGCAAAGATAGAAGGGATACAATGTGGAGTCCACTCTATCTGTGACAATCTTAGACATTCTTCATACGCGTCGTTACAGCATATTAATTACTTGCCACGGGATGCTTACCTCCGACTGAAAACTGCTGGGAATCGTTGCAAGTTTATAGCTACAGCAATATCCACCCGCATATGTAGCCCTGTCTCAAAGGGATTGATGAAACTACACGTTTATGAATAAACCCAGAACTCTACCCAAGAGTAGTTTCCACCAAAGAAACAATTTCGCATGTCCGATTCTGTTTCTTCTAACACGAATTTAATGGTTCATACATGTTTCAGAATCCAGGTGTTCATGCTCGCGCTTTTGGCGAAGAAATGATAGCAATTTCCAGTGATGTACAGTAAATTTAGTGATTAGAGATCTTTCGTTTTTCCAGCATGCGGTTTTTGTAAGCTAGGATGTTTTGGACCCTAAGGAGACAAACTGTGGCCAGACAGGTAAGATCCCAAACTCTTTTTCAATCTCTTTGTGCTCACGCATGAGAGCTCAATCCACATATGCGATGATCTTATGAGGGAAAGACATATGAAGGAAAACGGCATTAAGTAAGCAAGGTGAGAAATTACATCTAAAATGCACTGTCGAGGAGATATTGAGCAAATCTAGCAGCATGTTATTTTGCATTCGCCTAGTTTAAAAATATCTTGGATACAAGCACAGATGCAATCACTTCGCTCGCCTTATTTATTCGCCACCCAAGATTCTCTCCCACTCGAGTTTCAAAAGACCGTTCATGCGTAAGCTGTGACGAGGGAAGAGACTTAGTCTCAAAACAATCAGTGGACGTGCTTCACAGTCTAAATATTTGGATCTGTTTATACCTTTTATCCAGTAATATCTGATGACAAATCTGGGTGATAAAGCTCAAAAGAAGGGGAGAAAACACAGTGACTGGATTGGAATGCGTTGCAGTATCCGAGGAGTGATACATGGTTCATAAAATGTACAATTTACAACGTGGGCCCTCACATAGCCCTTCCTCAATTTACGGCAGAAGAACTATCTTTACACAATTTTTAGAGGCACACCTGCTACCGACCCCTCAATCCGCCGAGTCTCAGGCACCATGCCATAGCCCTGCGCTTTGTGCTTAGCACAAAAAGAAGAAAGACACCATGTGGAGTCTAAAGCTCGTGTTGGATGGTCTCTGGTTTTCTTCGGATCTCTTACCACAAATAAAGATAAGGTCATCTAAAAAAGTTTACAGTGCCTTTACTCTTTACCTTGATCTATGAATCCACTTTCTTTGGCTCTATAAAACGAGAACTTCTGTACTGCTTCTGGGAAGTCTTTTCTGTTCGAGATTAGAACGAAGCTTTGCAATCTTGGCCAGGTCCAAAGGCGTCACCGTGGCAGCGAGGACGAGACGTAAAACGTAAGTCCATGTGCAACTAAATGCACATGTCCGAAACTGTACAAGTAGGTAGTTGGAACCTTCGGAAATCTATGATGAGAGAGTTCCATGTTTCTAAGATGGTGTACAGGTATAATGTATTCATGTGGCGGATCTATGACACATGTACCACAAAAGTATGATTGCAGGCCTTCAGATTTGGGGTCGTGTTCACGTCCAGTAGCGGCTCCCGGTTCGCGGCTTCGCTTTTCGATTGTAGATGGAAAGCGTCCTGTAGTCAAGTGAAGCTCCAAGCTTTTGGGTCGCAGCATGACAAAATGTGGAAAGTTTTGTGGGACGAGAGCCAACAAAGTGCACGAGAGTTTTCACAACTTCATTTCACAACATTCCACAAATAAGAGTTTATAGAAACGAGAATGGAGCCCAGTGGGCCTCCGTACTGGGCTCCACACCAGTGACTGAAAAGCCAATGAAGCCTCTCATTACTGCACGTCTATCTTTCCTTTCCATTGCGTATGCATACATACATTCCTATCCGGTGCAACCATGTCAGCGGTGAATGGAAGTGGCCTTTACAGCGACGCGAATGTTGGAATCTCTTACGAAGCGACTGAGAGACTTCGTTAATGAACTAGATCTGAAAAGTTAACACTTCGTTCGCAGTCCAAAAAGCGTCTGGATCCCATAATCGAGGGGGAAAACCCTTCCAGTCACCTGCGAACTCTGGCAGGCAGAATCTTAATTTTTGATGACTTCCTGACGCCCAGTTGCTCTTCAAATGCACTTTCGTAGACCTCAGAGTTTCCGTGGCGTGCAACTTGCAGCCAGAATTCGCAGTCGGGCGTTGATATGAGCAGATTTCATCTGCCTGACACTGGACTTTTCTGCTCAGACTCAAGAGAATCCCGAGAAATCGATGGCTCAGAATCTGCCTCCGTTGACAATATGTTTGATTCTCAGTATGGAGACTCCGGAGATTTTATCATCCATCTGTCTGAACACCCAGTCGCTCGACTCGCAGCAATCGTCGTGCGTGCATCGTTCTGAATCCGTGGGTAGGAACATGTTGGAGATCACGTTTAGGGCAGTGGGTGCCGGCGCCATTCGGAGCCGCCTCACCACGACACCGATCGTCATCGCACTGACAGGAGAGTCCGTGAAATTTGCCGACCGACAGACAGAGAGCAGAGCCGCTGCCCATAGAGTCTCATGCTCAAATTCGCGCTCGTTATCAAGTCGCGCACAATTCTGGATTGTCAGCAGCCGCTTACAAATCGGGGGCCCAATTCAATCACCACGATGATCCCGAGACCCGAATCCCTCGCACTCTACAAGGTCCAATTCTTCCTCCACGTGACATTGCGCTCCGTACGATCGCGGAACTCCAGAGGGATGACGAGCAGCAGCAGGAGCACGAGCAGGAGCCAGGGCCAAAGCAGGGTCGGCGCCCGCGGTCTCGGGATGGCGTCGTGGTCGTGGTCGCGGTCACGGTCGTAGTGGTCGTGGTCATGCGGCTTCGGGATGTTCATGGTCCGTGGTGGGGCCGGCATCGCAGTCAACTGCAAATAACGGACAGGGGCGGAGGGTGACGCAGTTGCGCAGCTCCAGATCCTGCTGCTGCATGCTCCCGGCGCCGGCCGCGCCGCCCTGCGGCGTGTGCAGCCTCGAGTACGCGATGGGCGAGACCGGGTACGAGCTATCGTCGGCCGGCATCAGGCAGCACTGCATGAACTGGAACACGGTCAGGATCGCGCTCGGGAGCAGCATTCAGCCCCGTCTCCATCGATCGACCGACCGATCGATGGATCGCCTCCCCCTTCCTCCTCGTCGCTCTCTCTCTCGTTGCTCATGCACGCCTTCGCGCTCTCAAGATCGGTGGCAGGTGGTGGCAGGTGGGCTTTGTCATTTTCGACCCCCCCCACCCAACGCCCCTCCCTCCCCTCCCCGCCCCGTCCCGTCCCGTGCTCCCGAGCTTGTTGAGCGTTGCTGCGATAAGACAACCAAGGGACTTGTCCAACCGTTTCTTCCGCCCGACTGGAGCTCCCCATCGGCCCGAAAAGGCCGGAGCTGCCACAGTGCAGAATCCGATGACGTCTCCGGCCGCTGATTGGCTCCGTTCCCGTCCCCTGCTTGCCAATGCTGCTGCTGCTGCTGCTGCTGCTCGAGGCGGAGCAGCAGGACATTCGAAGAGGACGAAGTCCGAGGCTCATCCGGGCGGATGGATGGATTCTTCGACCGATCCGAGCGGAGCATCCATAAAAGCCGTGCGCTTTGGCAGAGCGCACTTTTGTCTGGGGGATTCATAACTCTCAGGAGACACTGATTGCGCTTGCCGGTCCTCTCGATTTGCATCGTCGGACCGGGCAGCTGAATGCGTTCCGACCTTGGGACTGTGGAGGATGATGTTCGGTGTCTATGGAGAACTCTTTTGACGAGCTCTGGAGAAGAATAATTGCGCCGGGGCTCGACGAGGCTGCATGAGCATGACCATGAGCAGGCCTGGCGAGCCCTATCTCAATCTTCGCTAAGCCTTGACCGAACCCTATGTCGACATCCGTCGGCTGCATCTAGGCTCCGTGTGCTAGCGGAAAGCCGCCAGGAGGCATGAGAAAGCCGACTGACTGACTGACTGATCGATTGAACGATCGATCCGCCTCGCCTGGCCATATACTGATCTCCCCACCTGGATCGACATGCGTCGCCGAAAAGTTTACAGCTTTTAAGTAGTGCATGAGACTCTGCATCGAGTGTTTCGGTCCTCGTCGGGCTAGCGAGGACTCTCACATTGCTAGGCCCGAGCTCATTGATGAAATAGCTCGGTACGCCAGGCGGTGGTAGGGTTTTTACCGCCATAGCTTAGGTTTCGTCACCCGGATTAGCACTGTTTTACGGTGGGCTGCGCATCACCTGTCGAACGATCTCGCGCTTGAAGGGCATGCATGCATGCGTCGATATCGTTATCGAAGGCGGATGGATGAGCTCGGCTCTCCGGCATGGCACTTCCCTTCGCAGCTACGAGCCTTGGCAGACTCGCAGAGCACACGAAGTTGCAATTCTATAATAATTGGAGGGGGATCCGAGGGAAAACAGTTTATCGGTCTTAATTGATGGCAGTACAAAATTCGCCGGCATCCATGGGGATTCTCTGCACACTGATTGATATCACACACCTGACGAGCCCTGACACTGGCAGAGCTCTGACACCTCCCCCCCTTGCGTTCATGAATGAATTTCAGGGCAATTTAAGGGCAACTTGCTTACTTGCCGGGGATATTCTCACGGCCGAGAGCGGCCCACAAGTCCAATGATAGACGGCGCAGTTTGAAGCTCGTCCAAAATGTCGTAGCCGACAAACGAACTGGCTAGGGAGGCCGAGAACAGGAGCAGAGCAGAGCAGCAGCATTGGGGTTGAAGAACTCTTGGTTGCTTCTGATAATCCGTTGGAGGGCCCAGTTTTAGGAGTCTACGCTTTGACATCACAAACCACTCACAACTTGCCAAATGCGTAGCTTGACCCATAACTGCCGGAAAGCCTCCCCATCATGGGCACGGGAGGGCGCTTTTTCGACCCTGTTTTCAGCAGCTCAGATAATTTGAGCGTCCTCTAGAGCAGACAAGATACGAAAAATTTGCGGAGTTCCGAAAATCGTGGCTGACACACTCTCCTTTTCTGTACGAAAAGTCAATCCCCACCTTTTATATCAAGCCCTATTCTTCGTCGCGTGCGAGGCTCGTGAAAAAATTCTCACCCCCGCTTCGGCGGTCGACGTGTTCCCCGGGGACTCGAGGCGAAGGCAGGAGCAGCTCCACGGTGCTCTCAGCTCTCAGTTACCCAGCCGCAGCTGCAGCTGCAGCGACGACGACGACGACGCCGGCCAATTTAACCGGGTCCACTCTGCCTGCTCTGCTCCGCCCTGCCCTGCTCTGCTCTTGCCTGCCCTTGGCTGCTGGGCTCGGCTCGGCTCGCGTCCCCGAGCGCTTCTGCTTTCGGATGTCCTAAGATACGGGGATTGATGTCAATCTGTGTCATAGTTACCGGACATAAACTCTTCATATAAAGCTCGAGCAGCTTAGCGCTTCTCATCAGAGCCAGTGATTTTGCAGGAGGCCCTCCCTCCCCCTGGACACCCACATTGTGCGCTGGGCGACGAGTCGCAGCTGCTCCTGCCTCTCAGGTACTCCTCTCGACTCATAACCGTACCCCCCCTCCTCGCCTTGATAATCGACATCGACCCCAAGCTTCAAGACTCGCATGTTTATCGTCGTGCTTAATAGAAGCGAACATTGTTTTCGAACTCGTATCGAATCTCTCTCTGGGAGCTCACAAAGGAGGCCAGAGGCAAGCTCTCATGACTGACTCTGTTCGTTCCCTCGCACCTCGTTCCTCCAGTCGAGTGGAGCTGGTTCTAACGCGTTGAGCTCGCTCCAATGTTCTGCAGGAAGATGACTGAAATGAGGAGGATCAGTAGACTGGCATGGAGCTGCAGCTTGGCAGTGGCAGCCACGGCATTGCTCGTGCTTCTGGCGGCAGATGTGGCGGAGGCGAACGAATCATTCGCCGTGGGCCGCACATCATTCGGAGACGCCACTGCGACGTTTTATGGCGGAAGCGACGCTGCAGGAACGGCTGGGGGGTTCTGTGGGTACGAGAACCCCTTCACTCGAGGGTATGGAGTCACAACGGTGGCGCTCAGTGACAGCCTGCTCAGCAATGGGCTCAATTGTGGCGCTTGTTATGAGGTCAAGTGCAAGTGGGAGGCCTCGGACTACACCAAGAAGTACTGCTACCAGGGCATGACCACGATTGTCTCCGCCACCAACCTCAGCCCCCCCGGGCTCAATGGCGAGCACCATTTCGACTTGACGTACCCCATGTTCGTCAAGATTTCCAACCCGGAATCTGGCCGCATCCCCATCCAGTACCGAAGGTAAGACCGTGCCCCACTGCCTGCCCATGCAGTCTCCCGTCAGACCTCAGCTCAGCTGTCGATATAACATCTCGTCTTGTAGCACATTTGTGAGCATTTCGTCACGAGGTTTTAGGTCTTACGAAGGTCGTTGATTCAGTGCATGCTGTCTTCGATCGTGACTTCGGTTGCATTACGGTGTGGGCTGGTGAGCATTCGCGATGCCATGGCCGGGAAGGAGCTGTGCTTATATTCTATGGACTCGCTTGTGATGTTGTCAGGGTGCCCTGTCAGAAGCAAGGAGGAATAAGGTTCTCCATGGTGGGAAATCCCTTCTGGAATCTGGTCCTCGTCTACAATGTGGGCGGCTGGGGGAACGTCCACTCTCTGTACGTCAGAGGCTCTCGAACCGATTGGTATTACATGAACAGAAACTGGGGTCAAAATTGGCAGTGTTCTGTCAACTTGACGGGCCAGAAGTTGTCGTTCCGTGTAGTTCTTGGGAATGGGCAAACGAGTGTGTTCAACAACGTAGCTGACTCGAATTGGAAGCACGGCCAGACCTACGAGGCGAGCAGCAATTTCTGGTGAAGTGGGTCGTGGGGGATGTCTGTATGAAGAATCCGCCGATCAATGGAACGGAGCGTTTTGAAATAAGTTCAGTTGCAGCGAAGCAGAGGTGGCGTGTTAATATCACCGTATGGTTGCGCCCACTGAATCGCTGGTTCGTACTCGTAGCTTCTGCTTCCGTGACAGATGTGGTGTGTAAACAACCATGGACAACTGCGCCCTCTGCCAGGAAGACGAGATGGCGTCGAGTGGAAAGAGTTCCAGACAGCGCCTTCACACTCGGTGACTGACAGAGTGAATTTTTCCTTGTCAATGTGAACTTGGGTCCCGATGCTGCTGTACGTGTCTGACGATCTCGTAGGGTTCGCACTGCATAACATCAGCTGCAGGATTCTGCGAGATGGATGCATTGATTGTACTATACTGTTCTCTGTACTCGGCCGACTGAGGAACTTCGCGGACGTGGACATGGTCCATAGAGGTCTCCCGCTGCGGAACAGCTGCCGATTGGCTTTTAAATCATATTTTAATAAAGAGTCAAATCTTGACCGACGTTGTTGGAATCTTGTTGATTATGTTGCCAAACGTGCGAGTACATTTTCATTCCCGTGCCTCCGAGACTGACGAACTGAGCTCAATCAACTCTGTACTTCGGAGACCGCTTACCATGACATTCAGTGATATACTGCATGAGACCCTCGGTAACTCACGTAACGCGACCGGACGAGCTGAACGTCGTGTGACTTCAAATCGTGCTCGGATGAATGTAGACGTATTTCACGACCGAATCGAGAAGCGCTGGCTATTAATCTTCCGCCTCTAAAATCCACAGCACTCTTGACAAAATGGTGAAATATATCGCATTCAAGGGTTGAATTCTACTGCATGAAAATGTATGAAAGTGGATTAAAATTTTCACGTACGCTGAAACAGACATATGTGACATGAACAATTTATATCTCTTGACATCAGCCGCGAAGAACATAAATCACATTCTTCTCTTTTTGAAGAAAAGAGAAGTACTTCTCAATACCACTGTCGCACATGAATACGTACGTCACATTCCATACAAGCGAAAAGCATGAAACCTTATTAAAATTCCAAACTAACCTTGTCCCTGGAAAACCGACCATGTAAAAGCCGACGTTATTAAAGCAAAAAGGGATCCGACCACGAGCCAAACTCCCTGCAGCCAAAGATTGAACTCCACCGTAAAGCATTGAGGCCGCTACAGGTTCAGGTTTATGTGGAACTGTGTGTACGCTAGATAGGCCTCATGCGGAAATCGAAGACACGGACCCGTTCCTGTCAACTATTATGAAGAACAACGTGTGGGACATGGTGGGAGCCCATCTCTGTCAGTCACGAGGTGCGAGGAAGTGATCAAATCCGGGCAGAAAGTGCAAAATAGACAAAACATGGGGGGCTCCATTCCACCGCCCCCGGAAGACGGTCGTCTTCCGGTAGCCGGTCAGAAATTCTCAAAGCGCTTGGACCTGTGGGACACGATTCGCTGTTCAAAGCCACCAGTGGAAAATTATGACCTGCTATAGGCCGTGACCTCGATGTACTGATACACCCAGAACGGACCCTCGCAGTTGCTCTGTCTTCGCAAATTCTTCTAATTTCATCGCAGTGGGACCGATCCGCTTCTCGTGGGACATCTCGATCTCGATCTTGATGTCCCCGAGGTGCCCCCTGCTGCAAGGCGGTTGATCAAACCTAAACCTGTCCGGGCTCGTGGTTCTGAACGAGCGGTTGTGCACAGAGCAAGAGATTTGAATGTTGTATCTTCCCCCGGATCGTGATCGCGTGTGTCAGAGGAGATCTATATGGGGAAGAGCTTAAGCAGGACAGCGTTGCGTAGAAGCTAAATAGCCCGCGCGCTCGGCTATTCCTCCAGGGAATTTGTAGCGCATGAGAATCTCGGCACATTGTTTTCAGTTTCTGAAAAGTACAGTCGTTATATTAGTTAGGTTCGGGTTTTCATCGGCGGTATTGGAGCAAACGCCGAGATTGCCTACAGACTTCTGATCGTCGAATTTTGTTCCTGATCTCTCGATGAATATTCTGTGCTGCGCAAATAGCTTCCATCTCTGAGATCATCCGCAACTGAAATCAGTGTGGATCCAATTTTCTGCCGATGGCTACTCCCAGACTCTACGTATTTCCTTCTTTCATGCATATATGGGCAACGTCGTAATTTTTCCGAGATGCTCAAGCTTTCCATTCTCTGTTTCCAACCGCGTGTAACACACCGAAATGCAACAACCGTGTCAAATGTCGAGTTACATGGTTGGCTCTGAAAGGCCAGGGTTGCATATGTGGGCACGTGCAAGCTAATTATATTTGTGTGTGACCCCAAGGCATGCCATGATGTACTTTTACGTGGGAAGACCATTTTCAGGATCAAATATGGCGGACCATTCATGAGATCCACACTTGGTCTATCCAAGCGCAAGTCACGCCTTCCTTTCCGCGACATGATTCGAACGCTAGACAAATAGGATTGAGCTACTTACTGTAGGACCTAAAACCGACGACATTTGAACTTCTTTTGGGCAATTTGCGTGCCCGGGGAATTTTGGGAGAAGGGAGTGATGGAAACTGCTACTGAAAAGGAATCTAGTGAGGCGGGATTATGGAATTAAATAACGATGGCCAATAACAAGCATGTGTGCAAAGTTCGAGTTCAACCCGTTCGCGGAATGTTTCACGTTGTGCCATTCATGGATGGACATCGTGTCCATTGTGGGCACATTTCAGAATCAATGAATGAAGCCGGCTGAAAACCAGCTTCACAGTTAATGGCAGATAACAACCCAAAACGATGTCGAAAACAGGTTCCAGTATTCGCGGTCTGTTAGTCAGGTCACCAACGACAAGTTACAGAGCTCACCTACGATACAACTCTTGGATACCATGGAGCCTTTTTCGTTGGACCAAAATGATGCGAAATTTGAAGCCTTTGCACTGATTTCTTTCACAGTGCACGTACTTATGCGGAACACGCATTCGCTGCTTGCATGAGATCTGAGCTCACTGGCTACCGTCGTCTTCACTGTGCAACTAACGAAGAGACTCGATCTGCATGATTGACACATCACGAGACGTGCTAGACAGAGCTCTCCTTCAGGCGAGGCCATCGATTCTTGATCCAATTCTTTATCTCTCATGGAATGCCATCTGCAAACTATTTGGTCGGTTGCTGAGGTCATCGACAATTCTTTCCCAAATCTCGGGAACACAGTCTTGTTGAGAACGAGAAAGGATTGATCACTCCCAAAAGAGCTAAATCAGCTGCGCCGAGCACATATCGAATACGATTTACGCCACAGAATCATACTGGCTATGCAAGCTAAAGTCTCGGATGGCGCGTTTGCTCGCCCACGTGATGCGATTCTTCTTGTGCGCACCTTAGAGACCATCGCAACAGTTCCTGCATCTTACTGAATATTTGGAGACTTGAAGGCGTGAGAGCACTTGCAGTAGTCTAGATTATTCTCCATCTTAACCTATAAAACGCACCTTGTAAAGATGCAATCCCATAACAGCCACAGCTGGTATTCATCTGCTCTTCTGAGATATTTCGAAAAGCTTGCGGAGTAGACAGAGTTTCACCTGTGTCATCCATGGAAATTCAGCATATTTTGATCTCGAGAAGAGCTAGCCTTATGAACCTCATTTTATCCACTTTGTTCCTCATTCTCTCGCTTGACGGCCTGTCAGAAGCTGGAGAATCAGGAGCTGTCAGCCGCACAACTTTCGGAGATGCTACAGCAACGTTTTACGGAGGCACTGATGCTGCTGGTACAGCGGGAGGTTCATGTGGTTATGAAAATCCGTTCACGAGAGGTTACGGTGTGACCACAGCTGCGCTGAGCAACAGCTTACTCAGTGACGGTCTGAATTGCGGAGCCTGCTTTGAAGTCAAGTGCAATTTCGGTGCATCAGACTATACGAGAAAATACTGCTATAACGGCAAATCAGTCGTTATCACGTCGACAAACCTCAGCCCTCCTGGTCTCCATGGAGAACACCACTTCGACCTGACCTACCCAATGTTCACTCAGATTTCGAATATGATCGCTGGACGCATCCCGGTTCAATACCGCAGGTGAATGAATGCACACAGAGCTCAGGAATGTCCATTAGAGTTAAACGAAACTAATGCGCACCTCGCAGAGTACATGCAGAAGAAGTTGACATGATTTGGATGTGAGGTGTATACTGACAGCGAGGATGGATTGAATCATGCCATGCTACACGTGCATGATCAGCAACTAACATTCTCCTGACAATGTTCCATGCAGAGTGCCATGTAAAAAGCAGGGAGGGATTAAATTCAATATCAATGGCAATCCTTACTTCAATCTCGTGCTCGTGTATAACGTAGCTGGTGGTGGAAACGTTTATGCCATGGCGATGAAAGGTGGCAACAGTGCCTGGTGTACAATGGGACGAAACTGGGGACAAAATTGGCAATCCTCCGTGAAGCTTACTGGGCAGGGACTGTCTTTCCGTGTCACGTTGGGCAGTGGCAAGATGCTAGTGTTCAACAACGTAGCTCCATCGTCGTGGCAGTTCGGTCAGACGTACCAGGCGAGCAGTAACTTCTGATCGACTTTTCTTTGTCTACAACGGACAGATCAACCTCGAGCACTGCACAGGCCAAACGCTCGACGGGCTTGAGATCATTGTCTGCAGATATTCAGGGGCAGTTGCGGTGTGTACATTAACCGTGCCAAGGTGCACCCACTGCTTTGTACATTGACCACGTTTCGAGACAGAGGAGGCGTGAAAATATATATGAGCCCGCTGTCGAGAGGCTAAACACTTTTCATCCGCATGGGAAAGGTAAATGCGATGAGATTTTCTTTACTCGAGACTACAAGAACAGTTGAACGTGTACACTAGTAACTGTACCTGCTTGTACTTGCTGTACAGAGCTCAGAGTCATCTGAGCGAGCTTTCTCCCATTGCCTGGAGGTTTGGCATTGGTCCAAATAGACCTACACCAAATGTTTGTTAGCATCGGTTCGGAAGGTTGGCTAGCTCTAGCAGGCCTGCCAGAGCATTTCTTCCGCAACCTAAAATCTTGTGATTCACATGTGAGCTCACTTGGAGTAGATAGGCTTCCTGTTTCATTTCCACCACGGAACCTCGGTTTCGGAGGACAGAATGAGAAGCTTGCCTTCAGAGTACGTGATAAGATTGTGGTATATCTACCTGATAACATCAGAGCATGGGAGTTCGTTTCTTGTAGGCACCTGATGCTAATAAACAGTTTTCAGTTTGTTGGCCGAAATATCTTCTGAAGTTTATGTTACTAAACTCCTCAAATCCATTAAAGAAATCTGCACCATAGCCAAGTTTAGTACGAAATCTTTGACGTTCTCAGTGAGTTTTGTAATCGATCAAATTCCCATGAATTTCTTGTCGTAATATGCAGTACATTACAAACATCTTGAATGATGAGAAGCACACGTGCTCTGATCGAAAAAGATCAACGAAGAGTAATACAAGACCTAAGAATATATTAAGCACGCTAGTGGCATTTCTTTAATCTGTAACAACTCGATTAGATATATTCTACCATGCAACCAACTTTTCCTATTCCCAAAATCGAGCTAGTCACAGGTGTGACACAGATACTACAGTTCCTGCGAAAAGCTTTTTTCAGCAGCCTACGGGAACGAGGAACGTTTGCTTATCAATACTCGAAACTAAATTAATTTTACAGAGTACAGTTCATTTAGTTCTGAATTTTGACAAGGAGCCATATTCTGATGTTAACGCCGATTGTGGAACATTTTTCCAAAGCTAGACACCTGAGGATAATCGTACATCTGACCCTGAAATATCTCATCTGTTCAAGCTCTACTATTAGCAAAGTAGATTGTGTATGAACGCATGTACTCAATATACATGTGCGAGACATTTCATTTGCGTTGCTGTAACGCATAATGTGAAGCCTTGTATTCCTCAAGAACTTCAGCACCACAAGTCAGAGCCCACAATTAGCTGCATGAACATTCTGAGAATAATTTCCCCTTCGTCCACGAGCAGACGAAGATCTAGTTCACCAAATTTCATCCATCACCTCGTTGTCCCCAATGTTGCAGTTGCAGGTCGACTAAGTACCTGTCATGACGCCAGCGAGGTCAACCTGTCATGCTAGTGACAGTTGGCTGTTAAGTAACTGAATTTGAGAGCACTGTTACAGGTAGATCAGATTCGGCAGGCAAAACGTTCCGTTGTTGTGTGAAGGCTCAAATAATCGAGGACAATGACAGGTTTGGAAGCTAGCATGATCTTATTCTCCAATAACTCTTCTGTGTTTCTTGGCGTTCTGGTTCACGACCAGAATAGAACTCGGATCTCATATGACATCTCACACCCATCGACAAGGAAAAGCAAAAGGCTCGACAGGCTACTTCTATTTTGCTGCGAGGCTGCCATTCATGACTAAAACCGCTGGCTTGAGGTCGGAAGGCATGCATATTTCCTGGCGGATGTGGCAAATCAGGCCTTTTCTCTGCCGTTATGTCTGCACAGCGGTCGGGAATCATGATCGTTGTAATGACAATCGACTCCGATCAGTATTTGGAGGTCTGTGCATTGGTGGTACAGCTGCACAATGTGCAGCGTTGAGATGGGATTGCCTTCATTGGATTTTCAAAATTCACAGGCTATCTCCTGTTGCCATCTTTTCGATCTCTACAGGCACATCGCTGTTTTCCATGCACACCTCGCCCTCGATCCTTGTCTAAGATGTCAGAGGACAAGATACTTGACCTGATAGTGTCCACGCTGTACCAACTGCTTATGCAGCCACTCTGCGTTGTCGTCGATTGATCTGTTGATGTTCGATCCAATCGATCTATCACTAGCATCAGCTCGCCACGAAGGCAAAAATCCTCTTCTGTACGATCGTAGACCTGAATCTGCATCTCCATAGTCCAGTACTTTAGCATCAAGTTTCCATTTGTATCGCCGGAAATCAAGGACAACCGATTTGACTGCTAAGTGGAAAGAGGTTGAAGAAGATAGTCGGAGGAACGATCCAGTAGAGAAAAGCCTACAATCAGACGAAGTATCACACTACATGGTCTCCATCCAGAGTAAAGCAAAGTAACGCGTCCCATTAGATATCTAAGCCGGCAGTTGTTCACGTAACAACACCTCGCAGGTCGATTACAACTACACTCACATCTTACGAGTTCCTAAGAAATAAATTGGTATTTACCAAAACACGTCTTGGATCACGACCCGTCTTGCCACTTGACGCTTGTTTTACGCCGTCGTTGTTGCTCACTACCTTTGGAAGTGTACTTTTGCCGTTTTCCGAGACTTATCCAGTGTTTACCAGGTCTGACGTCCACTGTCGACCACACGATTTTCCTGTTTGAACTCGGACGACCCGAATAGAGCTCTGGCAGGCTACACGAACAGTCCATTCCGGAAGACTTTGGTGGTCACGAGTTGGTAGTCCCACATATTGGCTTATTGACAGAGACATTCTATCAGAACACGGCATGGATCATGCCAGCGGTTTGAACACGTTCTTTGGATCAAGGAGTAAGACTCTCCAGGTTCACCGCAAGGAGCCATTTCAAGTCTTGCATTGATATGTTGCTGTGCCGGATGTCTAAATTCCGAAAATGAATCATTTCTCATTATTCTTGGTTAAAAATCTCGAGCACCAAATTTAAATGGACTAAGTTGCGATTTGAACTTATTTAAGTCAGGCCTCTTAGAAAATTGTCATTTAGTCAACAAGTGCTGTTACAGTAACTCTTATTCCAAGTCGTGCACGTGTTTTAAGGTGTGTCTCAAGTACATGCTAGATGGACTTCAGAAAGTGAAAGAGAGGACGGATGCTGCAAGTTTCTCTATAGATTCTATTGGGACATTGGGACACTGCGGTACTCCTTGTACTGAAGAGCTAATCCAACTCCACGTTCAATTCCCAAAGCACTGCCGGACTAAAGGATAATATTCGCTCCTGCCTATATTCAAGTCAAAAGTACCATATCGAGTTTCAATCAATACCGCAACTCGCAGCCATCAATGACTATTTCCAAAGTGAGCATTTGATACATTCTATACAATTACGAGTCACAGGATTGTCACGATGATGACGTCATGCGCATTGCAGCGAGAATGTCAAGTGGAATATATCAACCGTGCGACCTTACAGGCCACTGTCCGGGACTGGAAGCTGGAACCTAGCAAAGTTTGGGGTGTTCGTGTTGGGATAAAACCCTACTGGATCCTTCCCTCAAGGACTTTGTTCATCGCTTTTCACCATAATCCCCAATTGCTGCCAGCAGTTGAAGATATGTCTCGGTAAAAGCATGTAGGCGAAAAAGCATGTGCCCAGGCCCCAGGTCCACGTACATTAGTACCAATGAGATCACTCGAATGTCATCGGATGACACCAGCCGAATTTAGGTGAACATTATAGGAATCAATAGTGATACAGAGATGCAAACATTCTGATGGAATCCAAGCTCGTGCAAATGAAGACTGCTCACCTTGGTAAATTTTGAAAAAAAGAAGCCAAAAACCTGTTTCAATACTACTGATACTGAATGGTAGAAGATGTGTCTTCCCTCTAAAGATCAGTTGAGAATTTTTAAGATGATTATTACAATTCCAACTATTTTGCATATTAGAACTACCATGAACCTCTCTGGAACAGCTAGCTAATGGCAGCAAAGCAGCAAGGTCATCAGCTCACTGGTTCTGAAGTACTTGGTAACTGTTTCATGCAGACGTCCATATACAGCCTTGGTCCTACAGACCAAGCAGTATATGTCATTTCACCATCCCAACAATATGGGCCACCCAGTCAATCAAAAGCATGAGGTGTACTGGTCGATACCATCAGCTCCTCGTCATGCTTTGCCGAATTCCGCAATGTTCGTTGCATGGTAAACGAGGGATTTCCGAATTTCATTTTGATTTCTATTGATCACAGAATGCGGCAAATGTTCGAACATGCGAATCGTAAAAGCTTAAATTTGGCTCCCACTGGAGCTCACTGGTGAACTGCAAGACAAAATCTTCTGGCCATTATCTAGTTCAAAGGGTTCAGAATGAAAAGAAAGACGGCGTAACATTAGGCTGGGGTTGTGGAAAGGGCAAGTCGGTGGAACCAAATCAAAAGAGCGAGCGCCTTGAGAGCAGGAGAAGAAGGAATAATTGTGCTCTCCAGTAACGTTTGTCCACGTCTCTCGCTGGACCTGAGAAGCTGATTTCACTGCTTGCTCATTATAAGTACGGATGAAACGGACAGATTTTTCAGATTAACACAGAGTACCAACGAGGAGTTCCGGAACATTCAGGTGGCTGAAGGTCTTGAATCACCGAAGAAAGACCTGCTGTAAGTACGTAGCAGTAAAGCGCTCAGTGACCACATGAATGCAAGTTAAATGAAGAATCCACACTCTTGCGCATATCCTTCATCTGATAGCTTCATTCCGCTTGTCGTTTCATTATGTTCATGCACGTAGACGCATGGCATCGTTGCATAATCAGATGAGCCTCATCTCCAATTGAAAATTGAGGTTGTATGCCTTCACACTCAACTGGTGGAGGCATTTGCTTAAACTAACTCAGAAATTCCGGCATCATCGTCTATGCTTGAAATCGGGGTTCTCCAGTATGTGCAGAGTGTACAATTCACAGTCTAGAATCTAAACAGCTTCGGGTTTCTTATGACCAGGGTATGATGAGGAGAGTCTTCAGATCAGGAAATTTGGAGCTGCTGGTGGTTTGTGTTACTGGTATCATCCTCCAACTTCACAATGCAGAAGCTTATTTGTCAACTGAGTCTTCTGTTGTAAGCCGCACAACATTTGGAGATGCAACTGCAACGTTTTATGGAGGCAGTGATGCCTCTGGAACACAAGGTATGATCCTTTCTTACCAGATACACTTGTAAACTGATTAAGAGATAGGTGGCACTCGTAAGCCTATAATTACAATTGTTTTCCATAGCACCACTCCTGTTCATCGTCATTGTCTAATCTTCATGGTGGCATCAATGTCATAATGGCAGGTGGGTCATGCGGCTACCAGAATCCTTTCGCTCTGGGTTATGGTATAAAGACTGCTGCTCTCAGTAACAGCCTACTTGCCAACAATATGAACTGTGGAGCCTGCTTCGAGGTGAAGTGTAAATATGATGCTTCAGCATACACCAAGAAGTGGTGCTACCCCAACTCACCCACGATCATCGTCACTGCCACCAATCAAAGCCCTCCAGGCCTCAATGGGGAGCATCATTTTGACTTGACCGAGCCAATGTTCATGAAGATCGCAAACAGAATCGGCGGTCGCATTCCAATTCAATACAGAAGGTACTCAATCACTCTCACTGAAAAGGGTTTCTGTGCTGAAAACCAGTAATCAAATGCATTCATTCTTTCGAAAGCTCACGTTGCCATTCATTGCTCTTGTGCAGAGTGCGCTGCTACAAACCAGGAGGCATCAAGTTCACTCTCACTGGAAATCCTTTTTTCAACCTCGTCCTCGTTTACAACGTTGGAGGTGCTGGTAATGTCTACGGGATGGCAATCAAGGGATCCAGAACTGATTTCTACCCAATGAGCAGAAACTGGGGACAATATTGGCAAGCCTTCGTGAAGCTGACGGGTCAGAGTCTGACCTTCCGCGTCACGCTGGGCAATGGAAAATCAACCACTTTTTGGAACGTCGCTCCTGCGAATTGGCAGTTCGGCCAAACGGTTGCAGCCACCTACAACTTCTACTGATCGAGTAGAGCGGCTGTTGGTGATTCTCCGACGCACAAGAGAAACAGTAACCTCCGAGCAGGTTTTTTATCTTCACAGATGCTAGCACTAGGTAGAATGGCAAATCCATGCAGCGCAGCCGAGGTGCAAGTGGCGTGGCACTTGATTGGCTCGCACCCGCTGTGCTTCGGTTAGTCCGAGGTCCGTTAGGTGGACATTTCAGAGTTTTCTCTTCTGTCCATTCCATCAGAAATATTGTTAGCTTTAGAGTACAGGAAATAAAGAGGAGACTGAAGCATTTCTTCTTCTTCAGTGTAAGAAACCTTCTCATGTGTTCTCTCTCGAGTTGTGCATTGAATCCATGGGGTAAATGGATCTAACATGAGACCTGGGTGAGTCAGACTGGGATGTTCGAACAGGTGCAGAACGAAGCGAATGAAGCAAATCGCAAATCCTGGATAACACTTGTGCAGTACTACGAAAGAACTTAGCAGATTGTGAGGCAAATTCACTTGAAAATATGTTGAGCATGATCTCGTTCACTGAATATCTAGTTAGAAAAATACGTAAAACGTACATTATTTCGAAATTCCTATATTTCTGTGACTTTCCAATACCTTTTCCTTGTTCCTAACTCATCCGGCATGATGCAACAAGGGAACGATCATACATAATTCTGGACATCTAAGTGGATTTTTAGAAAGGAAAGATACGAATCAATTGTCACTTGAAACATATCTGCCAAATAGGTTCAACATCCATGCAAACTATCTCCAAAAATTCCGAAGTGTATAGAGTTTTCATCCGAACATAACTATGGATGTCGCGTTTAAACTTACTGATGTAATCCATATTTGCTTGATATTGCAAACTTTGCCAATGAGGCTTATACGGGTAGGCTAACAAACTACTTAAGAAAAGAGTATATTATTCCTGGATTTGACAACGTTGATAATGACAATATATCTGACATTGTTCAATTGTTAAGCAGCTTTAACCTTCTCAGTGAATCCAATGTTAGGAGCCAAAGTGACAAATATTTGAATGATGACAACTAAGATTCCAAAAGGGCTCTTTTGGAATCCAACATTTTTTTCCAAAATTTGTTTGATGCGATCAAAAATGCTGTAAATTGTAAAATCCAATGAGTATGCATTGACACTGATATGGGTCCAGGTGATTTGATTTATCACACAATTGTAAGTGTTATCAAGTTTCAGGTTGAAATGTACAAGCTAAGATGTTCTCCTTATTTCTCTAGAACCGGTTGAAAACTGCCGCTAATTGAGCATGTTTCACTTCTGCAGATAATAAACCTCTAGAACATAGATCTCTGAAATTTCATTTGAAAAAATGGGACTTCAGCTAGTGTTTATTGTACATCAACCAATTTTTCAGCCTTCATAAAAGTTTAATTTTAAACATTTTTAGGTGAGCCTCGACAAGAATTTTAGCCTTTGATAGTAGTTGTTTTACACCGTAGATCGTAGAGGATTAGAGGGTTTCCCCTCCCTGGGGACCCATTGAAGCGCCTATGCTCATTCAGTTTGAACCACCAGTGCATGCTCTCCAAACTCTGGATTCTGTAGCTATGGAGGCGACGACGAAGATGGCTCCAGTGGCCAGCTTCGTCGCCACTGGAGCCATCTTCTTCCAGAACTCCTGCGCTCCTGAAGACAACGAGGGCATCAACCACAGACTTCTCGGCTCTAGTCCTATTCCATAGCAAGCAGTGCATCGATCTGATCACTCGGCGGTGGAAAGCAGCGGTGCCCACTCCTCCGCGGCAGTCTTGGCAATGGAGAGCTCGGTGTTGCCATTGCTGCCCTCAGGAGCAGTTTCGCCACTTTGGCTTGCTGCGGAGAGTGGATCGCGGAACACGCACGACCATGGAGGCCAGATTGAGGGCTGTGAATCCTTCGTCCGTCTTGGCGGTTTCCATCACGGCCAGACTCAGGACATCCCGCACGCACTTGATGAGTTTCCGCAGAGATCCATGTGTCCGAAGTAAGATCCTAACGGAATGGTGCACTGAAGCTCGCCATCTCGAGGTTCATCGAGAAGGTCAGTCTCCACCTGTTTCAGCAGGCGATTCACCTTGAGCCAGTCGCCGGACGAAAGAACCGAGTACATGGATCTCCATTGAGATCCATCCCTGTCCCAATTCTTCAAGTCCATAACTGGAATGTGAGGCACCTTCGAGATGAACGGATGCAGATCCAGATCAGCCACCGCCTCTTGCAGGGTTCATCGAGCTCAGGTTCGGCTAGTTCAGAGATCGAGGCGAGTCTGAACACACTCGGAATGAAACAAAACTCCACGATGGGAACACGAATCATCGTGTCGCTCCTCTAAATCTCTGAAGTCCCTACAGTCTCCGCTTCCGCTGTCAAATCAAGGACTACGTTCGTGGAGGAGACGTAATGCAAGGTCGGTGGGAACAAAGGTGAATCGCATCTTTCATCTTGATGCCAGGCATCAGATCATGCAGGCTCGTCGCAGCCTCTCCGAAGAGTGAGCATTATAGTGAATGCTGACGCTTGTGCGCATAGACTTTTCCGATCTCCGGTACACAAATCCTCAGTGATGCCGAGCAGGTCTTTGTGTAGCGAGACTAGGACTAGAACCGGTGAGCGGTTCGATTCGATTGCTCGCTCAAAAGATTGATAAAGCTTCACGCTCCGCCGATATGGAGCGTGAGACTAACGTGAGATCACCTAGCGAGCAGGGTGAAGATAGTTGACAGTGGCCAGTTGAGCGGTGCATAAGTTGACTTCATTCACAGATCTTCAATTCTGGTGCCATGTCATGTGTTCACGGAAACGGCCCTCGCACACTCTTAAGCTGAAAGCCTTCTTCAGTAGAACGAGGAGATTCCGTGGAGGTTTCGCAGATTTGATCTGTGGGTGGTGATGGACTAGAACTGGCTGTTGAGGAACGAAGAAGAGAGGTCTTCTGCATTTGTGCTTCTTGAAGCGTTTCCGAACGCGACTATGGAGTCGGACAGCGATGAGAAGGCGAGCTCGTCGGAGCCTTCGAACCCGACATCAGTTTTCATGGGGAGGTCGTTTCCGGAGGACCTTCTGCTCACTGTGATGCGCAAGCTCCCGCTCGAGAGCTTGATGAGGTTCCGTTGCGTGTGCAGACATTGGAACGATCTGTTCATGTCTCGGGAATTCTCTCTTTCACTTTGGCAGAAATCTGGGAAGCTGGTTCCGCTGTATCCGGGTGATGGAGGTCTCAATCTTTACGACACCAGCAATCGTTGCTGGGTGCAGCGCGACCTCAACTTTGGAGAAAATCAGGGTTCGTTCGTCGAAGATAAGGGATATGAGCTGGTAGCATCAGGTGGGGGCCTGTTGACCTTTCTTGCCAAGCCCCATCTGGACTCCAATTGGCGAGAGCAATTCCCGACATTCATAGTCTCCAACCCTTTGACACGACAGTACCACAGATTGCCGACTTTGGTCGTCCTTGCCTCACCTTCCCTCAACATATCTGAGGTAGGAGATATGTTGTGTGGAATCGACGTAGATCTGGAAACAGGGTACTACACTTTTTTATTTCTGGATCATCGTTCCACATACGGAGGAGGGGAAACTTACATCTATGACTCCAAATTGCTCTCATGGCGGATCTGTAGTCGATTGCGTTCATCCTACAGTAATCCTTCATCCAACCGGAAGCATTGCACGGATTTTAATAGATACCAGCATCAATGCGTGACCAAGGATGGAAAGTTTCACTGGGTGGTGAGTGGAGTGGAAGGGGGCTTTACGGATTTGGTGTACATTTACGATCTCAAGCTTGACATTTGGAGCCGTTTGGACTTAAGCATAGAAATTTCGTGGGCCATGCTTTTCAGATGTATGGAGCACAATGGTGAAGTCCTGATTGTTGGACATGATGATAGTGGATCTAATTGGCTTCGTTTCTTCGAGATCGTGGATCAGAGACTGGAACCCCGGTTTCCAGAACGGCGTTACATCTCGCGCTTGTCTCTTAGAGAGAAGAAGGCCGAACCCATGCGCTTGTATCTTAGAGAGAAGAAGGCGGAACCCATGCAGTCGGTGGCTGATATGGTCGCCCCCTTACTTAAAGAAGGAACATGGGAAGAAGGTTTGATAAAAAGGGAAGTAAGGATCAAGTGGTGCGTGGGAGCCAGGGACGAAGTTATTTTTCTTTTGCAAGATTACATGGAGGATTATACTCACGGCGTTCCTCGGCCATACAAATCAAATATATCTCGTCCGATATTGCGCTACACTGGTGTCGATGACTCTTGGGCGTGGTTAAGCAACTGGAAGATTGTGAAAGAAGATCATGATTACCTGCCTATTTTATTCCGAGTTTGGACTTACCAACCCTCATTGGTCAGCCCTGGGTTGATCGAGAGCAAGATCAAGCATCCACATGGCATGGCGAATGTCCACGAGTTTGACTTGTCCTAAGTCTTCGTTGACGCATAGAACTATGGAAGATGCAAGTTTCATGGCACAAAGCACCACAAGATCTTAGTTGTGGTGCTTTGTGAGAATGTGACGGTGTTTTTGGAGAATCTGTAACAAAAAAAGCGTGGTTTGTGTTTTGATTCTGTGTAATTTGACAACACTTGTCGATTTTATCATATCCGGACAATTTACTTAGGTAGATATCTTAAGCTCTAAGACATGATTTTTGGCTTGTTGGGATCGCGCGAGTTTGTTACATCGTGCTGGTCTGCCCAGCAGGATTACCGCTGTGGATAATATGGATGTGATGTTGATGAACATCACTTCGTTGTTTTTAAGAAATAACATGCAATACATTGTGAAATTTTGTCACATCACTCATTAGGTTGTAAAAAATAGAATTGCAGTTAATTCGAACAAAATAGCAAACGATTTAAGAGTTTGTGGATGTATGGAATTATAGAGGTAATTACTTGATGGAACCCTGTCCTAACACAAAATGCTCACTAGGACCCATCAAGTTTAGTTTTACTCTATAGACCCCATAAACGGAGATATCATCCATGTTCTCGTATCAACCGACGGTGCGGGTCATTTCAACTTTCCCTGTGTGCATGGCTCTGAACGATGCACCATCTCCTACATATGTGCATCACCAATTTGCTTCCGAATTCTGTCCGTGTCTTTCCAAAAAAACTCGAGCTTGTTTCACAAGCATGTGCCATCCTTGGGGTCCCATCAGGTAAAATGAAACTTGATCAGTCCTATCAAGTAACTTGTGTTACAATGGGTTCCATCAAGTAATTTACTCAAAGATTATAGGAACAAATAAACTCTTGAACATTGTATAGTGTAATGCTATTAATATATATTCTCAATGAGTGAAAAAGAATACATGCCACTAAGCAACACAAGAAACCACATCAGGAACAATGCATCTTTCAAACCGAGTAAATGGGTTTTCAAATTAGCAATATGATGGAAATGATAATAACTGTATGTAAAACCCAAATCAAAAGTAAGCTGAAGGTTATGGATTGTGGAATTTTTTTGATAATTAAAAAATTTATTCTCAACGAAAAAGGACTTAAAAAAATCTATACAGGCAGTAACCATTTAACATAGCAGTGAAGTTCTTACTAGTTGTATGGATGATGAATGTAGAGTTTCCTGTGATTGGTTTGATGGAAAAGCAATTAATTAATATATTCCAAGGTAATCAAGTGTATGAATATGAAAATTTATAACTTCTTTTGCACACAATTTTGTTTGAAGAATTAATCGATACAGGACACATATATCCTTATATAATGCTAATTAGAGAAAAAAATCATTAAATATGAAGTATATTCATAATTTATGTCTTTCAATTTTCAATCAAAACTTTATGTATTTCGATTTAATAATTTTCATCTCAATGTCTTCTAAAAATTTTGCAAATAAAAATTAATCTAAGACATTACTTCTTACTAAAAAAAATATTTATCAAAGAATTGAAATATTGCATCGAAATGATCAATATCAGATTTTTTTTCTCTACATGGAAGATGTTTTCACAGTTTAAATTAAATGCTTTTTTTCTAAATATTTCGATTTAAAAAAATATTTTAAATTATATAAAAGGCAATTAACTTTCCGCATCTTTTCAATATTAAAAATTTCAAAATGATTCATTACAAATCATCATTTAGAATTTATGAATATTTTTGCTTTCTCATTGATTCGAAATTCGAACCTATTTTGGAAAAAAATTCAAGGATTCTTCTCATTAGATCTTGAAATCACTAAACAATCAAATTGAAAAAAAAAACAATTTCTTTTTATTATTGCCTTAAGGATATCATATCATTAAATCTATTGATAAATTAAAAAGCATTCAATAAAAGAAAAAGTCAACAAGATGGGGTTTTAGAAGACCAAATGAATGGTCTTCCTAAAGCTCCATAAGATATTCTTGACCTGTTTTACCATACGGAGGACTGTCAACACCAGCTTGACTCGTCACTTTTAGAGGCACAGCAGATGAGTTCCCGGGAGATGCACAGGAAGCAGCAGCAGAACTGGAGCTGTGAGAAGGTGCAGCAGGTGAAACAACAAACCTTGCAGGTGCTTGAACAGTGGTCACCTGTACTGTGCTTGCAGCAAGAGATCCAGCTCCACTTTTGTTAGAGGGGCTAGCGGTCGCAGTACTTTCCGCTGCATGCTGCTTCTTCACTTGCAATGGTGCCTCTTGCTCTCCAACCCAGCCAGGTCCGAAGGGAACACCCGGCGCAAGAACTTTTTGCATCTCAAGTGCGACAAAGCGCCATGCCTTCGGCCCGAGAATTGCTCCGAACTGCGCTAGACTCTTCGCATACGAGTTTTCGACATGAGTACCCATCTGGAAAGCGGCATAGACCACCATAAGTACCATGCTAGCTGTAACAAGAGTACATAGATCAACCCTACCAAATACTGCACCTCATCTAAGATGGTGAGGACTTAGGGAATGTCAGTGGTGAGGAGCAGACAAGGCGGATCTGCAGGGAATTTCGAGCTCAATAACGAGTTATTTGCAATTTCTTGTGATATGCTATCCACTAGAAAGAATGTGCATTCACAATTGGGGCACAATATCCGTGGATCCACCACGCATAATGAGTTAACAGCTTGTGATAGCCCACCCAAGGCTAAATTGCAGTATAACAGCAAAGTATCGATCCCACAGAGACAGAGACAACACACAAAGTACAAAGTGTCACGTTTTAGCAGACTATTGAGGAGTTTAAATTCTCAGGCTACTATCACTCCCAGAAATACTGCAAGTGCTCAACTCGAAGATCACTCACAGAACACACAATGCAGCGTAGTACACCCCAACACACACCTGAAACTGTAAAAGCACAACTCAAAGGTCGATTAGGACCTCCACTTAAGGTTCAGGGGGAGAGTTTCCCAAGAGTACACTCAGAGGATCTGCAGGTAGTCACCCAACTCCGAACTTGCTTAACCCCTGTCACTAGCCACTGCCAATGCATAGAATTCGGGTTGGACTTCCTACTTCGGATGCGGTACCTTCATCAAACCGAAGTTACTCTCACGCGGTGAACAACACACTCAACTCACAAACGCGCAGAGAATACAAAAATCCGAACAGAGAGACTAAGTTGAGAAAAGTCCCAATGTTACAACTTAACAGTCTATTGACGAGTTTGAATTCTCAGGCACTTGTCATTCCCAGAAATACTGCGAAGGCTACCCCCGAAGGCGCCTCAAGCAACGTAACACACACAACCTGAATTCAACCAAGGGTTACTCCGAAGATAACAAAACTTCACTTTGGTATTCAAGGGGGAAAATCCCGAAGGAATACAAACAAGGAACATTGTCCAAAGGTGTAAGTCCGAACTTGCTTAAATCCTGACTAGCCAATCTGCTAGCACAGAACATTCGGACGAAGGCCTTCAGCTATAAAATGCAATAACTTCGACAAACTATAGCTCCTCGTGCGTGGTGACAGAACGAAGTACACAAACACGTAGAGAAAACGTCTTCCTGAACTGAACTTCCAAAACTGGAAAATCCCCCAAGTCCAACGCTTTGGACTACTTTATACACTCTAAGGTTCTAACTAACTAACACTACACTTCACCGGCTATGCCTCATATGAGAAGGCTGACTACTCACTAACTCCCTACCCGTCTATTCGTCTACTCTCCTACGCAATTCAAGCCGCCGCAACACCTCGGTCACCTCTGCCTCGAGGTGCGCTATGGCGTCCCGCGATCTCGACAAGAATGACTCCAACCGCTTTGCCACGCGCCACCGACTTTGACTGTCACCATACATCAAAGTTGCCGCACGTATCTTCATTTCGCGCGACGTCATTCTCTCCCGCGCCGCGATCTCCCAGCAAACATAACCTCTAAGACACCGGTCAACCCGCGAAACTAGCTCCTCCCGCGTGCGATCTGTCGCGCGCCGGTTGTGGCCTTCAACCTCTGCCAACTGTAATTCTGCCTCCGCACGCTGCGCACTCAATTCGTCGCACTACGATTGTAGTCGACCTAGTAATTCTTCGTCCGCCTTCCTCGCTGCCTCATTCTTGTCTAACGCCCGCGTCTGCCGCACGAGCTCCTTTGCCAAAATGCGGTTTTGAGCTTGCTCAGAATTGATCTCCGTCTCGACCCTCGCACGTAGCTCTTCAATTTCGCGCTGCGCCTTGCTCAACAACTCATCTCGCAACTAAATCGCTGTTTTCTGCAGCTTCCGCGATATGGTACATTGTTCCTGCAAAAATTGTAACGCTCCTCCAACTGCTATTTCTGGTCCAAGATACTTCTGGTCCAAGGCTATCAACTCGAGAGTCGTCGCTACTTTGATTCGAGTCCGATTCCTGACCAGCTCAACATAGGATCCACGATGGCGAGGATCCCTGTACTTGATTGCCTTGCAATCAAGGTACCGGAGTAGTGGTACCACTTGCTCGCAAAGCACACCGGTCGGTGTACTTGGCACCGACTCCACTTCCTCCTCCTCCGAAGGCGTGTCGTCTTTGGTCTCTAGTATCTTTGTCGCCGAAGAAATCCTCGGCGAATCTCTCGCATTGAGTTGCGTAGCTTCATCTGCTGCGGCGGCCACTCCATGTCCTGCCAATACTTCCAACAGGGTGGGAGAATCTGCACCAGGTAGGCCTGCTACACCTGCCCGAACTGCTACAGCCGAAGGCGCTTGTGCCGAAGGCACACGTGTCTCCCCATCCCTGCCTTCGCCCGCTGCAACTTGCACCAGGGGTTTCTGCGCCGAAGCCGTCTGTGCCGAAGGCGTTTGACCCGAAGTCCCTTGAGCCGAATGCCCTTGAGCCGAAGGCTCCTCCCTGAACCGCTGCTGCGTCGAAGGCGCTTGAGCCGAAGGCCCTTGACCCAAAGGCGAGTCATCAAATGGCACTTGCTCGGAAGGCAAGCACCTCTTCATTGCAGGCATTCTGGCCGTTGCCGCATGCCTTCCTCTGTGGCCCGAAG